CAACTTTCTACCTTTACACACCCTCCCAAACTCATCTACTAACCTTTGCAATATTACAAATATTACAATTTGTAATATGACAATTTATATTGGTAAACACCACAGCAGATTTAGTAAATATGAAAATAGTTATATCAGGTTAGATAATTTTAATGGCTTTTGCAGGTCATCATGGAAAGATAGGTAGGGATTAATCCGCTTTGTGATTTGTACAGAATTCATTTTTTTTTTATTGGGAATGTTTAGTAATTTTTGTGTAATATCTTTGACCAGAGGGGAGTTGAGGTGAGGGAGTGAAAAAGAGTGGTAGTAAATTTTATTTAGGTACACAATACTTGGATAGAAACTGGAGCCTCTGCCTCAGTTGCCCTAATAGGATAGAAACAGTCTTTTAAAGACTATACTACTACTGTTTTGAAGATTCTGATGGTGGTGTACAGGTCCAAAATACAGTGGACCCCCGGTTAACGATATTTTTTCACTCCAGAAGTATGTTCAGGTGCCAGTACTGACCGAATTTGTTCCCATAAGGAATATTGTGAAGTAGATTAGTCCATTTCAGACCCCCAAACATACACGTACAAACGCACTTACATAAATACACTTACATAATTGGTCGCATTCGGAGGTGATCGTTATGCGGGGGTCCACTGTATAATCACACACACATTGGTAAAAATGTATCTTGAAAGGCACAAAATGTATACACTCCACGTCTGAGGTGTTTAATAACCCGAAGTATATGATGTACAGCATTAAAAATTTAATTTTTTTTTTTTTAATATGGCTTATTTTGGTTTTGCTTTGTAGGAATTCGGTGCGAACTGGCAATCCGGAAAGTGATGTATGCCCCCATAAAGCAGGGGGGACCAACCTAGTGTGGGGGTTAGCAAGGATTTTTATGATGTCCCAAACAAACTACATCTTGAAGCTTCTTTAGACAAAGAGGTAAAGAAGTGTGTGTATGGTTGGATTCAGGTTTCATTAAATGCTGATCAATGAAAGTAAAAAAAAGCACTGCTGAAGGGGATATCTGAAATTTACTCTGCTCTTGTCTGATTCCCTGTATCTTTTCATTTCAGTTATATTATCATGGAGAAACAGTAGCCGTTAATGTCCATATACAGAATAATTCTAATAAGAGCGTCAAGAAAATTAAAGTATCAGGTAAGTGTTTTGTGTCTTTTTGATTAGCAACCTTAGTAATTTTATTTAGTAATTTAAGCATACAAACAGAGGTACAAAAAATACAGGTAAGAGCAGCATGCCAAAGCCACTTATATGCATAGCATTACGGGCTGGCTTAAAATTAACTTAAGATTAACTAAGCAATGATAAAATCAGTGATAAAACATTATTGTAAACAGATAACTATAAAGCACAAATGAGTATTACAAAGACAGGTCATATGGTTGCTTGCATTGCTGTACATTCAGTCGAATGGAGTATTTCTGTTAGGTAGTGTATTTAAAAAAAATAATAAAGTTAGATTGGGTCTAGGTTTAACATTTGTTTGATATAATTGTGAGTAAATATAGGATATACAATTTATAAGGTTCAGTTATTCAGTATTTATTTGGTTTGAGTGAGTAAGTGATCTTTGAGAAGAGACTTGAATTTAAAAACAGGTGTGTTTCTTTTATATTTACAGGTAATAAATTCCAGATTTTAGGGCCTTTATGTGATTGAGTTTTTGCATAGCTGAGATGGACACGAGGAAATCAAAGAGTGATCTGTGCTTTGTGTTATGGTCATGTGTTCTTTTGAGGTTGGCAAGGAGTTGTTTGAGGGGAGGGTTAATATCAGAGTTAAGTGTTCTATGTATGTAATAGGTGCAATAATAAGTATGGATGTTTTGTATGGGGGTAGGTTGAGTGTTTTGAATATTGGTGGAGTGTGTTGCCTGTAGTGAGAATTTGTTATCATTTAACGCAGCCTTTTGTTGGGTAATTAGTGGTCTGAGATGGTTAATTGTTGTTGAGCCCATGCACAAATTCCATAGGTGAGATAGGGGTAAATAAGAGAGTGTAAAAGGGCCAGGGGGTGACTGGGGAAAACATAGTACCGTATCTTCGATAGTTTGCCTACAGTCTTGGAGTTTTCTTAGAAATTTGTTGTATGTGTATGAATTTGAGTCTATTTGAGGTGGATTCCTAGGAATTTTCCCTCTGTTAGCTTTGTGATAGGTGATCCATTTTTTGTTATGTTAAGAGGTACATCTGTAGCTCTGTTACCAAACTGAATAAAGTAGGTTTTTGTCAATGTTTAGTGTAAGTTTGTTAGTCTATCCAGGTAGATATTTTCTGTAATTCGGTGTTTACAGTTTTGGGGCTAGCGTGACTGGGCTAGGGTGAGAGAAGACGTATGTAGTTTTCATCTGAAAAAAGTGTGGGTTTGAGAAATTGCAAAGCATTTGGTTGGTCATTTATGTATAGGAGAAAGAGAAGGGGGCCAAGGACACTTCCCTGTGGGACACCACTGTAATTGGTTGTACGGAAGAGCTTGCCCATTTGCGTACACATATTGGCTTTGTTGCTGAGGTAAGACTTGAGGTAGTTGAGGGAGTGCCCTCTAATACCATAGTGTGACAATTTTAGGTGGAGCAAGTCATGGTCAACTGTTTTCAAAAGCTTTACGTAAGTCAATGAAATCCCCAGTGGGACTTCTTTTTTTCTATTGCAGTGTATATATGTTCTAGCATGTGTATAATTAGCTTCATTAGTATTTTTATTGGGCCCTGAATCCAAATTGGCAGGGGTTGAGAATGTTTTGGGAGATGGGGTAGGAGTAGATTCTTTTATGAATTATTTTTCGAAGATTTTTGAGAGAGGGTGTAAATTGGATATTGGCTATAGTTATTCAACTCTGTTTGGTCTCCCCCTTTAGGGGATCGGGGGTGCCCCTTGCTATTTTGAGAACTGTAGGGAAGGTGGGGATTCAATGGATTTGTTAAAAGAGTGTTGCAATCATGGGTTAGTACTTGTGACGCTTTTTTGTATTTTAAAGGATGGTAAGGTATTTAAATCTCCCCCTTGTTTTTCTAGTGCGTTGATAATAAGGGAGACTTCGTATGGGTTAGTCGGAGCTAGGAACAGTGTGTTCGGGTTAGTTGCCAGTGAGGTAGTCATTTGGTGGGGTATCTGAGCTTGGGATTTTATTGGCAAGGTTTTGACCTATAGTGGAGAAGAAATCATTGAGTCTGTTTGCTGTTTCTGTTGGTGGAGTTGGGGTTATCTGTTTTTGCTAATTTTATTTCGCTATGTCGTTGATATCTTTTTTGTTCCCAGAATTTTGATAGGGTCTTCCAGGTCTTTTTTATATCACCTGTAAGTTGGATAATCTGTTCTCATAATACAATTTTTTTGCCCTTCTTATCAGGCTGGTTAGGATTGACGAGAAACGTTTGTTGGTCTCTGGTTATGTGACCCATTCTGTACTGTTTTTCATATCGGTGTTTTGTATTTATGGTTTTGAAAATGCTGGGTGTTAGCTAGGGGACTGTTCGTCTCTTAGCTGTCATCTGTTTAGTTTTTTTAGGGCAGTGCTTGTTATAAAGGTATTGGGTCTTTTTTAGAAAATTATTAAAACTTTCGTCAATATCTGTATAGATTTCTAGTCAGTGTGCCAGTCAATGTTTGTTATTGCTGTTGTGAAGTTATTAAGGGCCCTGCCTCATTGTGAAGTCTGAAGGTGACTTTATTTAGTGTCTTGGGGTATTTTACAAGAGTTGTTATGGGAAAGTAGGGTAGTGGTTGTGGATTATCTGTAATTATGCCTGATTGTAAAGGGGATATGGTTTGGCCCAGATGTGGTAAAGTGGGGAAAAACATAGTCTCTGTAACTCTTGTAGGTTTTGTTACTGTTTGTAGCAACATGCATTACTCATTGTGTTTGTGAATTCAGTAATGTGTGGGTCTGGTCTTGCAGGAGATTTATATTGAAGTCACCTGAAGTAGTAAGTGATTTTTTGTTCATGCGTGCATCAGTTATCATACTTCTTAGGGTTTTTACTAAATTGGCTAATGTTTGATTGTGGAACTCTGTAGATGTTTATCACTGTGAGAGGTTTTTGTAGGTATGTATTTGGATTTGAATTTAGCTATTATATATTCCCTGTTCATCCTTGTGCAAGTATTAGTGATACATTCTAGTTGGTTGAGTTGTATATAGCAGTGCACCCCCTTGTTGGTCTGGCCTACAGTTGTGTATGGCTGTGTAACCAGGAATGGCATAGAATCTGTAGTATTTAGGCTTTAGCCAGGTTTCAGTTAGTGTAATTTATGGACATATTGGCATGCAAGGAATTTAGTAATGCTAGGAGGTCATCATAATGCTTGCTTAAAGTTTTGTATTGTAGTTAAAGATAGTTATGTTGTTGTTAGCTCTTTAGAAGTGCCTTTGATTGTTCTGCTGTGTAGTAATTACAGTAACTGTTTGAATCATTTAAAGTCATTAAATAAGAGGTTGGTATCAGGATCAATGCTTGTAATCATAAGATTTGTAGTGAATCTATAGTTAGAAAATTTAAATAAAAAATAAAGTAAATATTCTAAAGCTAAAAAAAATAGCACCTGAATTATTTAACAAATGTAAAAAATAATGAGCTAAGGTAGTTTTTTAAAGCTAAAATAAGGAGACAATATAAAAGGGACTAAATATTTGTGGTGAACAAATAGTGATGTCAAATAATGGAGCTTTGGGGAAAATGATAGTAGGTAGTACTTAAAGGTAATTCTTTAAGTTAGAATTATAATATAAAATTATAATATAAAAGGGACTAATATAAGTTGTGGTGAACAATAAATGTGGTAATCAAATAATTGCACTAAGGTCTAATATAATGAATTTGGTATTGACTATAGTACATCTGGTTTAATTAATAATATTAAAAAAGGCCCAAGACTCTCAATTGTAATTGCACTAAGGTGTTATATAAGTTGTTTACAAGAATTAGAGTATAACTAGATTTAAATTGACAAGATAAAATATGCAAGTTAAGGTTAGCAAAAGAATAAAAAAAGTAGAAAAAAAAATATATGAGGTAGTTGGTACTAGTTAGCAAAAGTTTGTTTAAGGGCCTTGAACAATTTAAAATAATTGAAAAATACACTAATTGCACACACAATATAGTCACTAAGATATGAAAACAATCTTAGAGTAGGAATTATAATACAAACTTTAATTAAAAATACAAATTGAAATGGTACTTGCAATTGCACTGAGTCTGGTATAGGTTGTTGACAAGATCAGGAGTATAACTGATTTAAATTGCAAAATATAATTCACAATTAAAGTACCAAAAGAATAATAGTAAAAAAAAAACAAGGGTAATGTCTTGGTTATAATTTGATAGTAAGATGGTTTGACAGGTACAGGTACAAGGATAAAATAAAGGTTGGAGTTGAATATACAAACTTGAAATTTTGGCAACAAAATGTTATGGGGAAATATAAAATAATGTTTAATGTACAAAAAGTAAAATTGCTGGTAGTAAATATGGTGTTTAATAAAATTTTAGTAAGTAATAATGATTACAAAAAAAGTGAAAAAGTAATGTTTTTTTTCATTCAATATTGCACTGGTAGTTATACTAGAGGTTTTATGCAGTACAAGGTTTAATTAAGAGTACTTAAGTAGTAAATGTGGTATTAAAACAGGTAAAGGTTTAAATTTGACAAATAATGGTTATTAAATGTCAAAAATGTTAGAGTTAATTGAAATTATAGTAAAAATGATAATTATTATTTTGTAAGTAAAATCAATTGTAGTATTTAAAAAATATGAGGTAAAAATATGGACAGAGAAAGTATCAATTCAGCTAAGTTTAAGCAAACAATAGTAAATAAGAAAATTACATAGGTGACTTATGCTTACTAAATAAAATACAAAATGAGGTAGTTGATTATTTAATTACTAAGAGATTGTACAATGAAATTTGAACATTTAAAGGATCAAAACATTCACTACACTACGTAGGCTTTTGGTTGGGGCTTGTTTAGTTATTCTCTGTAAGATTAGTACTATCCCTGAGAATCGTGATAGATCATTCTCGTTCGTTATTGTGTACAGTTGACCTACATTTGTTTTCCCAACAAGAATTTTCCATCTCGTGTGAAGCATTGGTGTATTGTGTCATTATTCTCCCCCCTTAAGTTTTCTGACTCTATAAAGGAGGTTCTGACGTTTTTTTTGGTAAGACACTGTTTATGTATACCTCTTTCTTTACTTTAATAGATGCAATAATTAAGTCTTTTTTCCTGTCATGTGAGTGGGAAACTAGCATAACACTTTTTCTACCATGGGATCTAGTAACCTGGCTTCTTTTATTCTGACTCTGGTACAATAACACTTGTTTGGACCTTTATGATCTGCAGAGTAATTTCTTTACTG